GTAGATTTCCAAATCTATTAAATTCCATGAACCAATAAACCTCCCTAAGTTATTTTATGATTTTTTTTTATATCAAACTAATTTTATAGATAATAAAAGTGTTTACGCTCCATCACAGGAGGAGTTACAACATGATAGAAGTTTTGTCTTGGCTAAAGTATCAACTTTAGTATTGTTAGCACGAGAGATAAACGTAAAAGTTATAGCTTCAAAAGTTGAGCTTAAGAGGCTAATGTCATGGAGAATGCCCTTTAGGTCGATGGTAGAAGTATCCGAGTTAATGAGGGAAATAAGAATTTGCGAATCGGAGAACATGTTCAATTCTTGAATACCGGTTGCGGTTGCTTTCTCTAGCGCCCCTTTCAGTGTTAGAGCTTCCGCGCACAGTGCTGATCCGACATGCCTTCTATAAGAGGTACCCTGAATCAGAGACTCTTGCTTTGCATCCGTGAAGAACCATCCTATTCTGCACTCTTCTATACCTGCGTTCCAAGCTGCATCAACGAATCCTTTAGAGACATCAGGGAGCCTTGGGATTGATCGAGCAGTTGCAGTTTTGATAGGTCTCGTGATCTGAGACTGAGTTTGATGCCATTCCCTTGCCTCTCTAATCGATGTGAGTATTGTTTCTTCTTCGGAATACGATCGATTTTCAAAAATCAATTGGTTCCGCATTTCAAAAATCAAGGTGTGGATCCTATTCCGGTTGGAGGTATATTAATCATTCTCCTGAGTTCTTGTAGCATCTTGTCGGTTGTTTCAATGTCCCCTGTTTGGGGCTTAAATAGAGCAGGGATCAGTTCCCACACTCGAGCAGCATACGGACATGAAAAGAGCAAGTGGATTTTATCCTCTTGTTGATTGCACGTCTTACACAGACTGTCCGACACTATGATGCCTCGTAGAGCCAAGTTGCTGCTAACCGGAAGTGCTTTGTTGATGATCTTCCACATGAAGTGCTTAATTTTAGGAGCTATTTTCAAATTCCATATGCATCCTTTCCGGTTAAAGTCACTTGTACCTACTTCTGGAATATGTTGTAGAAGAGCATAGCTTGATTTGGAAGAGTACACTCCCGACTTCTCCGGTAACCAAACCAGTGTGTCTTGCATATGTTTGGAGCTAGGGACTAGCTTCCTAATAGTGTCTTCATACTGAGGTAAATGGGCTCATATAGCTGTAAATTCCATTCATTGGAAGATGATACTAGAAGATCGCTT